ATAAAGTAATATTTTTGTGATAGAATAATTAATTAAAATAAATAAATAATGATAGGATTAAAGTAGAAAAAAATATTTGTCTATATTATAAAGTGAAAAAAATGATAATTAATTTGAGATAAACTCAAATCAAATAATAAAAATTATTTTAGGATACAAGAAGTAACTAATTATATTGATACATACGATACTAAAATTTAAAAAAAAAAATTAATACATTGGATGTTGATATTAAACCTAATATTAACTTTTTTTAATATAATTTAATGGTTAAAAAATATATTAAATACATTTTAACTTACGACTTTTAGAAAAATTTATTATGTAGTAATCTATTACTGTTTATTTAATTAGGGATACATGATAAAGAGTGGTTATTGAATAGTAATTATTATTTTTTGTCTTAATAAAGATAAAATTAATTTTTTTTGTTTTATTTACAAGTATCATGTGTTAGTGTTTTATTGATTTATTTTAAATTAAAAATCAAAACTTGTTCTCATAAAATAAAAGGAAAATCAAAGTTTGTCTTTTTAATTCACATTTCATTTTTTTTATAAGTACAATTATTACTTAATGTCCTTTTTATTATGTGCAAAAGGATACAAAATAAATAAACTCATCCATCTATATTTTATAAAATAAAGTTTACTTCACTTCAACTTTCGAGGTCTTCTCCTATTAGTGTCACCTTTGAAGAGAATTAGTTCAAAAGAAGCATTAGAGCAGGTCCCGTCCGGTTATTGCCAGGAAAAAGAATGTCACTGACAATGAATGAGCTTAATCCCCTGTGCACCTTCGAAATTGTTGTATGTGGGAGTATTAATAGGTCTCCAACAAACAATATGATTACATTAACTTACATGACGGCGGCTGCCAAGGTCAGAGACTTCAAGCGCCGATCTGCCACTTCTAAGGCCGATGGAAGAAGATGATATGCTGAGGAGGGAGAACGAAAAAGAAAGGAATAGGATAGAGAGGAAGCGAAAGAGGAGAAGGGTTATCTTCTTCCTTGCAGAAGTTTGGGCTTAGGTTTAGGATTATCTTCTCGAACATTTTTTTTTTTTTCAAATTCGAGATTAAATTTAGTAATAACATTATACTACCGCTATCATAGATAATATATTAAATATTTTTTTATTTTATATTCAACTTAAAATTTTTAAAATAATTTATATTATTTTTTTAAAAAGTTAAAAATAGATTTTTTTAATAATAAGATAGATAATTAAAATTAAAAAATAATGATAAGGTTAAATTAAAAAAATAATATTCATCTCTTCTAAAATATTTAAAAAAAAATAACAATTAAACAAATCTTGAATAAAAAAATATTTATTATTATAGGATAAAATAAGTAATAATACAGTTAGAGTTTTTCTAACTTGTATGTACAAAAGTTAATGATGCAATTAATACATATTTTTTATATTAATTAGTATTAAAAAATAAATATTAAATTTTATTTATTTAACTCAATAAAATTAATTAAATTCAAATAATATTGATGATGAAATTAAGATTAATTGTTATATTTTTTATACATTAATATAAATAATGTAAAAACCTATAAAGATATTAATGTTCTTAAAAAATTACAATGATAACAAAAAAAACTATTGTTAAGTAGACAGAAATGATATTTAATCAGCTAGTTTTAATGGCAAAATGGACGGGTGCCGTCTAATTTTGGGTAATTGTGTAAATGACGTGAAGTTTAGGGGCTGATATACTGATATTGTATGTTGGAGGACTAACCCTCAAAGACAACTAAGTTCAAGGGCATCCAACGGGGGCAAAAAATATTTTAGATATAAAACTATTTTAGCCCTTTATTCACCAAAATCAAACCCACCTTTTTGTAGACTTTCTCTACTCTACGATCCTTTTATTTTTATTTTTATTTTTTTAATTTTCGTTTCCGCTTCTTCATTGGAAATGTGCTAAATATATGTGTGGATGAAATCGGAGAAGATGGCGGGAGTAGCCAAAGAGGAGTGGTTGAAGAAGAGATCAGGGAGAATGAAGGGCTATAATTTTCATCACATAATAATTTGTTATGGTTATACAAATTATTTAATTTTTATTTTAATTCAACTATTAAAAATAATTAATATTTAATAAAATAAATAATATATATTATTTAGTGAATTAATTTATAAATAAATATTTTAAAATATCATAATTAATTATTTTAAAAAAATTTAATTGATAAAATATTATTTAAAAAAAAAAAAAAACACCTACCATGTGACCAAAACAACCATAAGTGTTGTCTTGAGTTAATAAGACTCTTAACCACAGCGGAAATGAAAGAGGATCCAAAAGGGGTTTGATGCTGGTAAAGAAAAGGGGCAAAATGGTCCTGACGAAACTAAAAATTTTCCTTTTTATAGCATTAACGTTTCCGTCACGTAACTTTCAGCATCTGTTACTTCACATTCTGAATTTTTTTAATGATTAAGTTATCAAATGGTGTCCCTATATTTAGAAAATAAATTTATTTTGATCTATTAACTTTTTAATATTAATTTAAACCCTTTACATACTAAGAAAAAGGTATTTTACAGGCCATCTTTTCATATTTTATTTAATATTTTA